TTGGAAGTGTTTTCCCCCGTAACAGAAACGTAGGAACCGGCGGTGGTTTGGGTGGATGGGGATGTGAAGGTAGGCTTCCGTAAGGTCTATCGATGCCAGGAAGTCTCCTTCTCTGATGCTTCCCAGGATCGACTGAAGGGATTGCATCTTGAATTTTTTGTATGTGATGTAGCGGTTGAGGTTTTTTAGGTCCAGGATTGCCCTCCATCCTCCTGAAGTCTTTGGAACCACGAAGAGGATGGAGTAAAATCCTCTGCCTCTGTATTCCGCTGGGACCGGTTCTATGGCTTGAATGTCCAACAGGTGTTGGATGGCCTCCTGCATGAGTTTGCGTTTGGTGGGGTTCCTGGAGACCGAGCAGTTGATGAGTCGGTCTGGGGGTGTGACCAGGAACTCCAGGGACAGCCCGGACTGGATGGTTTGTAGTACCCAGTTGTCCGTGGAGGTCTGCTCCCACTGGTGGAAGAAGTGAGCTAGTCTTCCTCCAATGGGTAGGTCTATGTAGGAGTCATTTTGTCTTCCGGTACGGACGACCCGTTCCATGAAAGGGTCGTCTCAACTGGTTTTGTTGTCTGGGCTGGAACCCCGGTCTGTCGTAGGGGCGGCCGTACGGTTTGTTCTGCCTGGGAGTGAATGGCTTGGGTGCCTGACTGATAGGCGTGGTTGTCGGTTGGTGAAAGGACTGCCTACGAAAGTAAGGTGTGGTACGTTTGTCTGACCTTTTGTTCAAGTGTGCCATGACCTTCCGCTTGTCTTTGTTCTCTACAAGATAGGGGTCCAAGGCCTCCCCAAACAGACCGTTGCTTGAGTAAGGGGCGGTCGCTAGCCGCCACTTAGCCTTGGTGTCAGCTTGCCAGTGTTTTAGCCATAGCATTCTCCTGGCAATTATGTTGGATGCTATGGATCTGGATGAAAAAATGGCCGATTGGAACGTTGCGTCTGCAGCGTATTCCGTGGCTGCTACCATCTTAGCCAGGTCCTGGTGTGTTCGTATGTCCTCCATAGGAACTATGGTTTGTAGTTGTTGCAACCAGATGAGGGTGGCCCGGACAAAAAAGGAGGCCGAGGTGGCTGCTTTGATGGCCCATGCCGCTGTCTGGTGGGTTTTGCGAAAGGCTTGTTCCCACTTTTTGTCATCTGCCTTAAGGGCCTCCACTAGGTCCCCAGCCATGGCTGTCTGGGAGACCAAGGGGGTCCAGGCTTCATCTACTTTAGGTATTTCTGAGGCCTCATTGAGGTCTGTGGCAGTGCTGTATAATTTTTTGTCCGTACCACTCACTGATGGGAAGGAAGCGGGAGAGTCCCATGGCTTCTTGATCCCTTTCAGGAAAATGCGGGGTAAGGTGAGATCCCAGGTTGATCCTCCTCTTGTGGTGAAGAATAACCACTCATGGAGGACTGGGCCGGGGAGACGGGTTCCTGAATGCCTGAGGACTCTGAGGGGAGTTCCGAGTGTGGCATGGCTGAGGTGGAGGGCCCCTGGTCGTGGTGGGCGGAGCGCTGTGCTAGGGCTCGGTCCACCACTTTGGTTAATAGGGCTTCTAGCCGTCCATCTGCCCAGATGTCCCTTATGTCATTACCTTTGGGTGTGGTGACCGCAGGTGGAGAGATGGACTCAGTGGTTGTGCCTGCCGCCGTGGTTGTTTGTTGGGCTGATGTAGATGGCGGATCCAGTGGTTGAGGTGTTCCTGGAATGGACCACGCGCTCTGGGTTGATGTGGATGGACCCAATGGTAATTCCATCTCGGTGGCCGCTATTTGAACCAATTCCAATTGGGCCTGCCTCTGCGCTCTGGAGAACTCCTTCTCCAGGGCCTGGTGCCTACGGCTGGCTTGCTTTTCCGCCAACTTGGAGGGCCTCTTGAGCGAGTGTTTTGTCTTCGCTTTGCACTTGCCTGCCGCCTTCTGGTCAGAAGGTGTGTTGCAGCCGTAATTGGGAGATGGAGGGGTCGTGCTCATGGATTGAGGCAACGAGGGTCCCTCCATTCCGCTTGAGCAGTCCCAGAAAAACTGAGAAGACGCTCAGGCAGGCAAGTATTGGCGGGAGCGAAATTGGAACAAGTACCAGGACTGTTCCCCTGATCACCCGACCACAACAAAAATATTCTCTCTGGGCTAAGGTCACGGTAGCTGAGGGAGGTACCGAAGGCACGTTTGGAACCACTCTTTGGGTTCCGCCCGGAGGCCTTAGGTGACCAGGCAACGTGCACCAGTAGAAAAAGGAAAAGGGAGGCAAAAAATATCAGTGGCGACCTCAAAAGGGTCTGTAGGCCTGACTTAATACACAACAAGGTATCAAATGGCGGTCACCTAGAGCGGAATTTATTCTTATTAATATTATTACTATTATACTAATAGGAACAACAATAATAATAAAATAATAATAATAATAACAACAACAACAACAATGGTGATGATGATAATATTGTGTGTTCTGCCTTTAGGCCTGTTGGCCCTGCAGTTTAATTTTTAGCTTTAAAAAAATTTTTTTTTAATTATTATTATTATTATTTTTAAAATTTATTTATTTATTTTTATTATTATTATATTTTGTCCTATTATTATATGTGTGTATCGGGGGTGGAGCGCTGGCTGTGCGCTCCTATTCCGCCTCTATCAGTGCTTCCAGATATGATGTGGAGCTTCCTTAAGCTCGGTTTGCCTTCCTCTGGCAAAAGATGGCAGCCGCAGCTCGTTTCTCCCTGAAAACGGGCTTTGCGGATCCCAGGAGGGTTCTCTAGCCTCCGTTTCTTGGTTGGGGCTTACTCCCTTCCTGTGCTTCAGCTTTTTAAAAAGGAGGGTGGCCGCGGCTCGTTTCCCTCTGAAAATAAGCTCCGCAGCCTCCCAGAAGCTGCTTGTGCCCGGGGATTTAAATTTGGCGCGCTGGTGAAGTTTTAAGGGAATCCCAGTCAGGGATTGCCTTTGTTGCCTGAAAACGGCAACTAAAATGGCGCCCGCGGTTGCCCTGGGCTGCTAGGGAATCTCCGATGATCCGAGTTCAAGTTTGAATCCGGACCTGGAGATTGTAATTTTTCCCCCAATTTGAGGAAAAAATCCCTTGGAAGGTTGGGGAGAAAAGCTCAGCAAGTGGTCTCTGCTGATGCCTTTCCCCCCCCCCTTTTCCACCTCCAGAGCCCTGGGGCTGGCTGGGATCCGTGGGGAGTTTCCCCCCCCACACCCCCTTTTTCAATTTTAATATAGGATCAGGGATGATCCCAAGGAAAACTTAGTGGTTGGGGAAAAGGTTCAGCAAGTAGTCTCTGCTGATGCCTTCTTCCCCCCCTTTCCACCCCCCCAGAGCCCTGGGGCTGGCTGGTATCTGTGGGGAAGTTTCCCTCCCCACCAATCCCCTTTTTAATTTTAGGTTTGAGATTAGGACTGATCCCCAGAAAATTTTGTGGTTAAATTCCTATAGGTGGCAATTTTTTTTTTTTTTTTTTGGAAGGGGAAGCCAATTATCAAGGGATAATCAATCAATGGATTTCTTGTCTAACCTGATAAGCTGAGAGCCACGCCAAAACGAGTCTTCTCGAGCAGAGACCAAGTTAAGAATGGACTCCACAGGAAGTGGGGGCATGTCAAGCTTTGGCTACTTGGTCTCAAGAGCAGGCAGACAGAGAAAACCCATCCGTGGATTATCCATCTCCTGTACTGGAGAATCCCCATGAGCATAATTCAGCAAGGATAAAGCCAATGTTCTCAGGTTTTCTTGTTAATTTTCAAACATATTTCTCATTTCATTTTTTTAATTTAAAAAAAGATGTACATTTATAAGCCATTCACCTCTGAAATTCAGCAGCAAGATTTGGGAATCACAGAAAATAGTGGGTTCAGAAATTACACTTAAACAACCTTTACAGATGCCAATCAGTTTTAAATATAGTTTGCCATGCTGTATTCCAGGGAAGGAATTACTGTTCCTGAAAACCTCATCAAGCACCTAAAATTAGTTATGAAATTCTTAGGTTCCCAGCCCACACATTTTATTCTTTTATTTTGTGAATTTGGTTAACGTAGATGGCTTTATTATTATTAATGTTGCAGCAATCAATAAATGCTACTATTACTACAAAGCATTATTTTAAACATCTTCACCATACTACAGCAAAAGATTGTTGAAATAGCCGTAGAAGCTAGTTCTCTTTTATGAACAGTTCAGACAATTTATAGATTTATAATTTGACTTGTTTAAGAAATAGACCTAGAGAGGACCCGCAAAGTTCATAACGGGAACTCTTTGCCACCACCAAAGCTTGTAATATGGATCAGGCCATTGGGGGGGCAAACAAATGTGAACATTTCTTCACCAAAGAACTGTGATATGTACAGGTATTGCATTATCTTTAAGAGCTACTTAAACACTCAGATAGCAAGATACATAATGTATATATATATTTAAAATAAATGTATTTATTTATTTATTGAACTCCTTCCTGTTCAATTATAACATGTGCTGTGTCTTCCAAGATTTTGGCATCTGCTCAAGACATTCCTATTTACCTTAGCTGCTGGCTAAGTCATATTTTTGTCTTTTGATAGTACTGCTATTCTGCACGCATGCAATTTTAGAAGAGGTTATAATTTTATTTATGTTTTTAAAAGTCAGACTAAATTGTTCACTGATACTGCTTTAAATTGTTTTCAACAAAGTACTTTTAAAATCAAAACTGAATTGAGATTATAGCAACAAAAAAGGCAGACATAGTGTGCTGACACTGTACCAAGGCAAAGATTATGCCTGCCATAATAAAAACTGTAACCTACCCAATCTCAGGGACTAATAACCATGAAAACAGTAAACAGGAAACACTGCTTCTGTTAACAATTGATATCTATATGCAATATTTAACATGAGCAGTAAAAGGCCTGCAAGTAAGCACCAATTGATAAATATTATAGCCATGAAGAAAAACTAGTTGAAATGAGATTCTGTATGTTCCACCACTCACTACTGTTTAGCTGGGCATGCAAATTGGCACACTGGGAAGCAAAGCATTTACCCAGGAGTCGCCACCCCATATTTCCCAGCTTCCCACGTGGAATTTGCGAGGTCCACCTGATCTCCCTGGGAAAGAATTTGAGCGCTACATAGCAAGTAAGAAAAGATAAGCATTCAGCACTTGCTTTCAAAGAACAGCAAATTTACAATACACAATATACATACTTATATATGATCTAGAAACTGAAGACTCTACTTTTAATAGATTAAAGAAAACATTACTGGAACAGAGAAGAAAATGCATTTCCATCCCTTAAGAGCATAATGACAGTAATACTGCAGAAAGATGAAGGATAGAGATGTTTTCTATTAAAAAATAACCAATGTGTATACAGCTGATTGTCAGATAGAAACAATTTCAATTTTTATAAAAAAAAATACTTGCAGGAAATGTGTGTTTAAACTTTTTATATTAGCTTTATATGTTTTACTCTGTTTTTATATTGTAAAGCTGCCAGGGATAATTTCTGCTGAATCTGGCAGCGCAATAACAAAAAAAAATATAGCTGCTTATTTGATCTAATGAAAACAGAATTTAATGATACTACAAATTCTGCACCAAGATTACCAGATTAAAAATTGACCAAAACACCCCAAACACCTTCCCCTTACTATATTTTCCCAATATGTTCTCCAGATGTATTTGGAAGCATGTCTTCAAATTCTTAGAAAATTCTGGAAATTTGAAAAACTGCTTTCCTAACATACTTAGTGGAAACCACTTTGGATTGGTTTATACAGTTTGGATAATTTCCAAGTATGAAAGAAAATATATAACCTTCTCTCCTGCATAAATGTAAACTACTTGCAGGTAATAAGTAATTTAGTAATCATTTTACAGTTGATACATGCTTGATAATTGTAAGTTTCAATCAAATTAATCATAGTTACAATCAGAAGATGCTACATAATTTTTGGAAAAGGACCAAAATAAAAATGACTATGAACTAATAAGCAAAACAATTGAAGTGACCCCAGTTATAATTAACTGCTAAAGAATTTCTCATAATAAAAATAATAACTTTGCTGTCTTTGCATCTTACAAAAAAGCTTTTAACATTTTACTATAAATTCATTTGGTCACTCTATTTTCTATTTTCTTTTCTTAATCATTTATTTACTGAATTATGACTAAAGGACAAGACCAAATGGCAATTCTTTGGTTAATCTTGATCACAGACTCCCACAGCCTCTCCCACCAATCTCTGCAACATGAGATGGGATTACATCGGGATGGCACCAACTTCAAAAGTTCAGCTTCATGCAGACAGTAATAAAAGGTAAGTAAAACCGAACTGGTAAGTATATTGTAATTCAATAAAAGGCTTGACATTTCATACCTTGCTAGTTGATGCCTTGTAAGTAGTCTTTAATTTCTGAGACAGCTGACTGGTACTATGGCTGGCTGTTGAAACAAATACATTTAAAAGAAGTTTGTTTTAAAACACATTAGATTACCTTACTTTATTGTTAACATCCTTCTAACTGGTTGTCATCCTAAATTATGAAAAACCACTAAGAGAGGAGTATTTTTCTCAACTCTCTTCTTACCTTTTGTTTTCAGCTGCCCCTTGCTCAATTCTGCTCCATCAATGGCTTGGCCTTCAGCTGCTAAGCGTTCATTAAGTGTATCAATCTCTCTGCGTACTATCAGTAGCACAAAAATTAATGTCAATGCAAAGAAAAATAATTAATCACAGTTTTAAATTACCATATAACCCTTATCTCAAAGGCCATTATGAGCAGGATCATAATTTCGTAATCTTTTGTGTTTCTTTGTGTGCCACAATTATAAAAAAATACATAATATAGCAATAGCACTTAGATTTATATACCGCTTCATAGTGCTTCACAGCCCTCTCTAAGCAGTTTGCAAAGTCAGCCTATTGCCCCAACAATCTGAGTCCTCATTTTACCAACCTCGAAAGGATGGAAGGCTGAGTCAACCTTGAGCCAGTGAGACTCAAACTGCAGAACTGCTGGCAACCAGCAATCAGCAGAAGTAGCTGCAGTACTGCATTCTAACCACTGCGCCACCACAGCTCTTGAAAGTAATTAACTCTCCAAATCTAGGATAACACTTTGTCAATGGATCTTAATTCTAAAATCACTGCTTCTAAGATATTCATGTTGATGCAAAACATCCATCAGTAAAACTAAATGAAAATTCAGGAAGGAAAGGTTTGGTATCTCCCTTCCGGATTCAGGAAGCCATTGCTTGCCAAATAACTTGTTTCTGAATGTAATTCCGCTCCAAACTGGAAACAATAAACACAACATATCCAGCATCCAGTCTGGATATCTGCAAACAGAAAGTTACATTAATGAACACAAGTAATGAATAAGAGCCTCTGTAGCTCCTCAACTAGAGAGGATTTACAAATGTACCGGGATGTTTGTAGATATATTTTCAGTTCCTATTTACATAACATACACACACACAAATACAAACAGCATGATCCCACAGGCATTCTAAGACCAAGAGAAGGGGAATTAGGCTATACATGCTGTCCCAAAAGAGGCTTGGTCTCTGATCTTCACTCCCAAGCCAACAGAATACCTGAAGGGGGAAATCAATATCTGGATGAGTACTGACAGGTCTTTCCCAAGGCTGGAAATCAAATCACACAGGGTTCCTGAGTAAGTTAAAAAGCTGACGGAAACAAGCTTCCCCTCCAAACTTTCTACCATTGGACAATAGTCTTAGGATGTAATTCATAAGATAATGGAGAATAGAATGTTCCCTTTTTCATACAGTCCTAAAGACAAAATGAAAATAACTTTCATAGATGACTTATTTGAGAAAGAAAATATTCTTCATTTCTTATTACTTTTTCTATGCTATCTCTTAATCATACCTGTTACAAAAGCAAAAAAATAGCTACTGTTTAAAGCAATGACTCATAACTATTGCTCACTGGAATCCAAAATTCAGTGTACAATTTATTTATTTTTTTGCAAAAATGAATTAGCATTACAGTGCAAATATAAAAACTAACATATCTGAATGATTATCCCAGTAAGCTTTGAAGTAAGAATGATCAAATGTACGTGTAATTAAATTTTGGGTTATAGCCATCAGTTACAGCCAAAATGCTAAAGGAACAGGATTATGGGAATTTTAGGTTAAATGAGCCAATGTGCACCAAACTATCTACCCTGGGATTAATCAGTATTAGTATTAGAGATCTTAAGTAAGATCTTCTATTCAGAGTTCACATAGGATCGATAGTATAGGAACAGAGATCCAGAATTATAGTCTTGCATCTAGTATCTTTCATCAGCATCTTATTCCAAGTTAACGTTTTCCCCCAAAATTGCACAAATATAAACTCACATTCAAGATTCTCAATGTAGAGATTCTCAAATTCTCTTTCTATTTGACCAAAAAGTTCCAGAAGTGTACTTCTAATGGATGAGGGTAGCTTTGAATCCTAGGGAAAACAAAAATACCACAGTTAAGGGAGAATTTTCCAGGAGTTTGTTCTTTTTGTGCAATTGGCCCTTTATGCAAAGCCTGCTATTTCCATTATTTCAAAGCGTAGATTTCAAACTGAAACCATCCTCCTATCCACTTTTTCTCAAACACTACTTTTTCCACACAATGGACCTGTACAAAGTTATGCTTGAAGAAAAGATAATTTTGTGAGTAACGGGTTTACCAACAAAACCTTATTAAGGAGACACACAAAAAAGATTTCAGTAAATCTACAAAGGGGCAGAAATAGATTTTATACCATCATGAAATATCTTCATTTCAGACAAAGGAGAACTAATCCATTTAATTCAAAAGTGGCAAATTTCTAATGTTTACAATAGTAGATTCTGCATTTAATATTACATAATGGTAAATTACTGTTGGTGAGCAACAGTCCCACTTGGGAGAAGGGCTCAAGTGAGAAATTAGTCTGGATGTTACATAAACACAAGAGAGCAAGGTCTGATCTCCCCGCTTTGAATATCTTTGAGCCTCATCTCAGATGAAAGCTGCCGGTCTGGGGAAGATTCCTGTGAAATAGGCACAGAACAATAAAGTTGCTAGTTGAACTCTTTATGTAAGGGTTTGATTGTTTACATCTGATAGTTACTTGTTTTAAAACTTTGAAATTTTAAATCAATAATAGTGCACAAAGGCAGTCTAACAATGATTTACCCTTGGCAGATCCTCAATGCTACTTCTCTTTTAGTTCAATAATCCATAACATACCAGATACAACAAGATGAGTAAAGCAGTATCCCTTACAAACAGTTCAATCCTACAGCAAAGACGAGATTTTACAAAGAGTTTGATTGCAGATTTTGTTACCAATTAAAAATTCTGAAAGATAATGACTTTATTTTCAAAATTATGTTTGAAATGTAAATGTTCAAATAAACTTCCCTACAATAAGCTTGCAGGAAAATGCTATGAATGTTGAAACATCATATACACTGAAGGGCAAAAAATAAAAGACAGAGATAATAGAACTCAAGACATCTCCCAAAACAAAACAGCTCACATATACAGAATTGAACTGAATCAGATTTTCAGGATGTGTTATCTATTTGCTATAGATTGAATTCATACTACAGCCAGAAAATGAATTATAGGTAGTCCTCAACGTACAATAGTTCATTTAGTGACATTGAAAGTTACAACAGCACTGAAAAAGGTACTTTTGAGGTTTTTCACACTTATGACCTATGCAGCATCCCCATAGACACATGATCAAAATTTAAAAGCTTGGGAATTGATCCACATTTATGAACTTTGCAATGTCCCGGGGTCATGTGATTCCCTATTGTGACCTTCTGACAAGTAAAGTCAATGGTGAAGCCAGATTCACTTAACAACTGTGTGACTAATTTAACAACTGAAGTGATTTAACAATTGTGGGAAGAAAAGTTGTAAAAGAGGGCAAAATTCACTTGACAAATGTCTCACTTAGCTACAAAAATTTGGAGCTCAATTGTGGTCATAAGTTGAGGACTACCTGTACACTCAAAGACTCTTAGAAACTGTCATGACAGTAATTGAAGAAACCCAGAGATATATCCAAGTATCAAAAGTATTTTCCCTACATTTGAATAGGAAATTTCAACTTTGCTTTGACATTTGGTTTTTAGGTTTGTTTTAGGACTTACGGAGAATACAAAACTGGGGGATTAAGGGATTCTATCAGAATATTAATCTATTTTGATCAGATAGCAGTGAAATCAAACTCCCTCTTTCCATCCAGTTTACCTGGCCTTCCAGCATCTCCCTCTGCAATCCTGACCTCTCTTGTTCAGAACTGTTGGTTCTTCGTATAGAAAGACTGTGGGATTTTCGTTTCTGCTTGGCTTGGCGAGCAGTGGCACAGCTTCCACTTTCTGTGGGCATTACTTCAAAACAATCACTTTCCAATAACTGCAAAGATAAACTAAAGCCAAGTATTAAATATTATAACTTAATCTAGGTAAGAAATTACTTTCTAAGTAACAAATGTAAGGGAAACATTTAATCCTACTAAAGTGTTTCGTTGCGGTAAGATATTAAGATAATGAGCAATGAGATAGTGAAAAATCTTACCACATACCTTTTAATGTTATTTGCCAATTATGAAGCCATTCCATAAATATAAAAATCCCTTTGAATTATAACTATTTTCCAAATACAATCCCTATGAAAAATCGAAAGTGCTTCTAAGAAACCCACATCTATAGTCACTTCCACAAAACAAATTCAAAGTCAGGAGCCTAAGAACATGATGCCTGAATGGCAATAACAAGCAAATTATTTAGATTCAAAAACTGCATCTGTTCTAAATTACAAATTTCAAGATCATAAACTCTACTACTTCCCCAAAAGTTTTCAGCAACTAATCCTATTGGTACTATGAAATAGCTGTATTAATGCTGCAATACTTTCCTCTATTAAGTCACTGTTATGCATCTTAAAATTTAATTCCATACAACATGAATTTCGATTAAACTAAATTACCTGACAGAATCTCTTCAACCTCTCTCATTCATGCATGAGCAATTTGGCTCTCTTAAACCATCAAAGTATGTGACATTTCTGCAGTGTCAAGTGAACTGTACCCTATTTGAATCCAACACTATATATGACCCTATTAAGCAAGGACCATTTTCTGTCTCTTTACCTATCTCAAATTCAATTAGTTTTGTCTGCAATAATTAACAGCTCTTTCTTAGAAACTAAAAAGTAACTACCATTTATGCAGCAACTTTCCTTGACAGCTAAATTAACTTTCTTACTGCATGAAACGGGGGAAATGCACCTATGATGTGTAATTTTGATGGTTAGAAAAAATGAGTAGAAAAAAGTCAGGGTTTTTGTAATCACGATAGAAGATATTGCAATACTTATTTTTGCTGCAGAAGAAATTGGAAGTTCCTCCTATTTCTTTCTATTATTTCTCACTAGAATTTTTTTTATTCCTTTTATTTTTTATTAATTTGTGTTGGTTAGTTTGTGTCAGTTTTTACATTCTGTTTAAAACTTCAAAATAAATTTTTAAAAAAAGCAACAGTTTTTTTTTTCTTTTTTACAAGTAGGCCTTGCTTAATTATATTAATTGGAACCGGAAGTTCCATCACTGAAGTGAAGTGGCCATTAGGGAAAACATCGAGTGACTGCATCACTTATGGATAGCAGTTCTAACAGTTACAGTTGTATCATTAGACCAGGATAACACTGTTGTCGGGTGAGGAACTTACAGTTCTCTTGCCCTGCCCGCCTCTGCTTCTTCCCCACATGTCTGTCCTGCACTCTGTCATCACCTCCCCCTGCTGCCCTTCCCCAGCACTCTCAGCTGACGTTCATTGTCTTCTTCCTCCCAATGCTGATATGCATGCACAGGTCCTTTGCAACGCCCTCATGCAGCCTTCCCTCACACACCTCATCAGCCGAGGAAGTATATGTCAGAGTTCATCTGGTGAGGGGGAAGCAAGGAGAGGTAAGGGCAGCATGCAGGGCATGCAATGAAAAAGGCAGAGGTGGGGGAGAGGCATATGGGGGAGCTGAAGCAACCACTACAGTCATAAATGCAAGCAAACTGCCAAGGACCTGAATTTGATCAGATGACTGTAGCAGCACTGAAAACAGCTATAGCTTCAAAGACCAGCTACAAGATAGTCCAACTTACAACAGTTCATTTAGTGAGCATTCAAAGTTACAAAAGTGACTTATAACCATTTTTCACACGACTGTTGAAGTATCCCCATGGTCACCTGATCAAAATTCAGATACTTGGCAACAGGTTCATATTTATGACATTTACAGTCTCTTGGGGTCATGTGATCACCTTTTGCAACGTTTCAATAAGCAAAGTTAGTGGGGAAGCCAGTTTCATTTAACAACCATTTTACTAACTTTGCAACAGAAATTTTGGGGTCATTAGTGATTGTAAGTTGAGGACCACCTTTAACGACCATTCAATCAGCACCATCATAACTTCAAATGGCTCCTGAATGAATCATTAAATGAGGATTACTTGTAATACTTTTTTGCACAGGTACTAGCAACAATCTTGGGAGTGCAGGTTTCCCCTTAACAGATCTACCCCTCTCCTCCTTCATGGGAAAAGAGAGCTTCTTCTAAGAGGGAACCTGAAATATGCTTGGATCACATAAAAAAAAAAGCATATTCTGTTTGGTGTAGAAAGATTATTTTGTGTCTATTAAATTTTAATTATTTATAGCCATTACAGTTTGAAATTATGGGAGTTATAAATCAACATGTTTAGAGTTAATGTGAGAGAAAACATTAAACACCCTCCCCCCCACACACTTTATCCAGTCTTGAAAATCCAAGATTATAAAAAGTATAGGCAAAGAATAAGTGTAAACTTTGTAAATTAACACAGTGAAAAGGAAGCTCTGGAAAATCAATTTAAAATGATTTCTTAGTTAATTCTGTTCAATCACAAGAACTGACAGCTCATTATTATTTTCAGGTGAATTTTTATGTGAATAACAAGCAAAGCTTCAACTTAAGTAAAGCCAATTTATAAATGTTACGTATTTATTTATTAAACCAATTTATATAATTGGCCATCTCACAAACAAGTGACTCTGGGCGCCATACAACAGAGCTAAAGAGTACACCAAATTTATACCATAGATTATACAACAAAACCATCCACTACATATTATAAAATGTCTTCTCAGACTTTTTTTTAAGTAATCAGAGATTTGCATTTCCTTCTTTTTGAATTAACTCTGTACACACAAACTTCTAGCCTTGAGGTATGTAGTCATTCCTATCATACAACATTACAACAAGTTCCTGTTTTGTTACGGTACTTTTCAGTTCCACCTTAAAGAGAAAGGAACATCAGAAATCACCAGTAATATAAAATAAACCTGGGAACTGTATTCAATCATGTTGGCATCCACTATTTTGTTACTTGTGTAATACTTAGATTGTTTGAGCTATATAGATGATCCTCAGTTTAGAATTGTGATTAAACCTGAAATTATATTTATAACTTGTGCCAGTTGTTCAGTGAGTTAAGATGGCCTGCAACCAATTTTACCTATTTTGCACTGGACATTAAGCAAGCATCGTGATTATAAAGCAAATACTATGGTTGTTAAGAGAATCCATTACGCGAAAAGAAGGTATTTTTCTGGAAACCAGAAGTAAACAGCAGTTTCTGACAAGTCTTAAATTGTGTTCAGGTGACTATGGGATACTACAAACCGCCATAAATGAGCACCACTTGCCAAGAGCCATAATGTGATCAAGTAACTAAGGAGGGGAGTGGTTTGCAGCTGTGGGAACTTTGAATTCAGCTCCTAAGTTTTGTCTATGAACTAAGCGATTATTTATAAGTTGAGGACTACCCGTGTACATGCCTGACCAGTGTCAGATTTAGACAGACACTGTAAAGCTTAAACATTAAAAAAAAAGCAGACCAGGCATAACCCACCCCACCCAAAAAACCATCCATTTTGAGAACTAGATAAAAATTCTTTACAAAATGCTAACAGCTTAGACAACGGGTGTCAAACTCGCGATGTCATGTGATGTATCACGACATATCGTGACTTTTTTCCCATTGCCAGCAATGAGGTGGGTACAGTTTTAGAGTGACACATCACGCCCGTGGGCCAGCAATTTGACACCCCAGGCTTAGAAAGCTAAAATTACCACTGTGTTTCCCAATACTAACATCCTATCACCCATGTTCATGCATCAGATGCATAAATAATATGTACAAAAATCAAGAATTTTAGTGGATGCAACAACACAGTCAATGTAGATCAGGCATGTCAAATTGCCGGCCCACAGGCCAGATGCGTCACACCAAAACTGCACCCCCCCCCATTGCCAGCAATGGAGAAAAAGTCCCAATACGTCGTGCAACATCACATGATGTCACGACTTTGACATGCCTGATATAGATTATCTCACAAATTAACACATCACGAAAACAATGCAGAAAAAGCTTCATGTATAAATAGCTCTAGATATAGTTTATACTCTTTTTCAGGCTGTCCTCCTATATTCACTTATGTTAATATCAATGGAATTACTTTTTATTAGGTAGCAATAGTTAAAAGTTTGTAAATCCTTTTGAATTTTCAGTATTTCTGCATAAATACATAAATACAGGTAGTCCTTGAACAGTTCATTTAGTGACTCTTTAAAGTACTGAAAAAAGTGACTTATGACGCCTTTTCAAGCTGTTCAACTATTGTGGCAACCCTATAATCACATATCAAAATTCAACTGGCAATTGACTCATCTTTATGACAGTTTCAGTGTCCCAGGGTCACATGATCAACTTTCGCAACCTTCTGACAAGCAAAGTCAATGAGGAAGACTGATTCACTTAACAAGTGTGTTACTAACATAACAACTGCAATAATTCACTTAACAACTGTGGCAAGAAAGGTTGTAAAATGGGACAAAATTCACTTAACAATTGTCTCACTTAGCAACAGAAATTTTGGGCTCAACTGTGATCATCAGTTGAGGACTACCTGTTTAAGGTCTATTTATCTCTTGGTGGATGAAAGCTTGCAACAAATCAGTTTGCAAGTCTCCAAGTTAAGCCTCTCTCACAGGGAACTATGGCCCACTTTACTAGAATCCCAGCTTGCTCATGCCACCTCAACATTGATGCCTGCCAAAAGACATCTGTAGGGCTATAGAACTCTATACAATCGCAACAAAACATGATTAATCAAAGTACCATGTGAAATCATTACATATATAAGATCTAAACTTATATATTTTGACATGAATTTAGGGTAGGAAATTCTAGCAGGCAGAGAAGACATGCTTAGCCATAGCCTGCCTAAGTGACACAACCAGGTCATAATGCATAGGAGACATTACTGCAACCCTACCGTGATAGCATTTTCATGTCACTGCTACAGGCAAAGCATGCTAAAATGGCTTTTGACAGAATTTCCCAAAGACATATTTTGTTTTTTATGATTATTGGGCAAAAGGAAGCAGGAAGGGAAAGGTGGCAAGACTATTCCTGCTTAACAAGTTTCTCTGTTTCAGCAACCTTCCCAGTATATTGTTTTCTTTTTAAAAATCTCTCTCATCTTTTCCTCAAGGAAAACACACTCTCCACTCTTTCCTCCTATTTTTCCCCCACAAAAACTATCCTATGAGGTAAATTGAGTTGAGGTAGAACTTATTCCAAAGAGAATTTCTATGGCTAAAGACGAAGTAAAACCTTAATTTCTCAAAAAGGTTTACTGTTCTAACCCACTGGGTCTACTAGATGCAGTTTTATAAAATACTTTACTGTGAAGCTTTAAGCGGATTTGTATCTGCATTCCACTCCAAAATATACACAATGTCTGATATGGCAAGAGAGATTAAAATATTTATGTTCATTTGAATGATATTGACTCATACAAACAAGGATTTTTTTTAAATTACTCAACTAGTAAAAGGGAGCTACAAATCTTTTTTCAAGAAGCCAAATTATGTTTCCTTTTGACACTGAAACTATTTTCTCAAAATATTACATGGAGTACAAACAACTATAAAAGCAACCTTTGGATGTATGTGAACCACATCTAGAGACCTGCTCCACCAATAACCACATTATGTGGAGAAATATCTCTAAATGCCCAGAGTCTTCATAGATGACACCTTACTCTCTCCTGGAACCATAGCAAGTGCCAGTTCTGTCCAAATAGGTGACATGCTAACCCAGTACCTAGAGGCTGCCAGCTCTGGGTAGGAAGAAAACAATGGTTTTGAGTTTATGAGCGAAATAAGTCCAAGGCAATATCATCTTTGACTCTGAATATAGTGGTACTCATGTGCTCAGAGGTAATCTACAAATATGGGACTGTGCAGTTCCAATTTAAAGACAAGATGGCAACTGTAGCCAGGAGATCTTTTACACAGCTACCCTTGGAAACCCTGTTCAGAGTAATTAATGTTCTAGGAATCACTCATTTGGATTGCAGAAGGGCTATCCTTAACTGTAGCATTCAGAATGACAATGGCTGTTTTCCATTATATTCAGATGACACACATACAATCCCATTGTTTTGGAAGCTGCATTAGTTGCCAAGTAGGTTTCAGGTGCAATTCAATATGCTATTGTCACTTTTAAGACACTCTATGCCCTGGACCTGGTTATATACAGACATTTTTCCCTTGTTCATCTGGCCATCCAATCAAGATTAAATAGACTCAATTCCCTCCAGGTCTAGTCTTTTCAAAAATGTCATCTTATAGGACTTAGTACAGCGATGGCGAACCTTTTAGAGACCAAGTGCCCAAAAACTGGCCCTGCCCCCACTCCACCCCCTGCCCCGCACACACTTCGCCCCACCCTGCCTACCCGCAGGACCACTCACCGCCTCCAGGGTCCGCTGCAGATTGCCCAGGCAGCCCAGCAGCACCATGACAGCCACGCCCTCTGCCTGCGCCCCGCAGCATCAACTGTGTGCGATGGGGCGTGAGGGCAGAGTCTTGTCCACGCTGCCTGGCTGCCATGTCCTTGGCTGCACTGCTCCACGTGGGCTATGCTCGGGAGCGACTCTCCTCCAGGGCAACTGCTGGTGAGGGGGTCGAGGGGAAGGCAAGGCTGGGGCAATGGCACGTGTGCCCACAGAGAGGGCTCCGAGTACCACCTCTGGCACCCGTGCCATAGGATCGCCACTACTGACTTAGGAAATGGGCCCTTTTTTATCACTGCCCTATGTTTTGGAACTCCCTTCTATGGAGATCTGATTGCCAGCTGGGCTTCAGAAGAGCC